TGTCCAGAGGAGGGCGACTAAAATGATCAAGGGTCTGGAGAACAAGCCCTATGAGGAGCGGCTTAAGGAGCTGGGCATGTTTAGCCTGAAGAAGAGAAGGCTGAGAGGAGATATGATAGCCATGTCTAAATATGTGAGAGGAAGCCACAGGGAGGAGGGAGCAAGCTTGTTTTCTGCTTCCTTGGAGACTAGGACGCGGAACAATGGCTTCAAACTACAAGAGAGGAGATTCCATCTGAACATGAGGAAGAACTTCCTGACTGTGAGAGCCGTTCAGCAGTGGAACTCTCTGCCCCGGAGTGTGGTGGAGGCTCCTTCTTTGGAAGCTTTTAAACAGAGGCTGGATGGCCATCTGTCAGGGGTGATTTGAATGCAATATTCCTGCTTCTTGGCAGAATGGGGTTGGACTGGATGGCCCATGAGGTCTCTTCCAACTGTTTGATTCTATGATTCTATGATTCTAAGATCAAGAAAAGCCCAGCAATGTGCCTGATTCTTGCAGCCCAGGAGCAAGCCATCAGAACCAATGCCATTAGGGCCAGGATTGAAAAATGAGTCGATGACCCAAAATGCAGACTGTGCAAGGAAGCTGAGGAAACCATGGATCATATCCTCAGTTGCTGCAAGAAAATTGCACAAACGGACTACAAACAAAGGCACAACTCTGTGGCCCAGATGATTCACTGGAACTTATGTCACAAGGACCACCTGCCAGCAGTAAAGAATTGTTGGGACCATAAACCCACAAAGGTTGTGGAAAATGAACACGCAAAAATCCTGTGGGACTTTCGAATCCAGACTGGCAAAGCTTTGGAACACAATACGCCAGACATCACGATTGTGGAAAAGAAAAAAGTCTGGATTATTGATGTCGCCATTCCGGGTGACAGTCACATTGAGAAAAACAACAGGAGAAACTCAGCTGCTATCAAGACCTCAAAATTGATCTGCAAAGGCTCTGGCATAAACCAGTCCAGGTGGTCCCAGTGGTCATTGGCGCACTGGGTGCCGTGCCAAAAGATCTCAGCCGGCATTTGGAAACAATAAACATCGACAAAATCACGATCTGTCAACTGCAAAAGGCCACCTGACTTGGATCTGCGCGCATCATTCGAAAATACATCACACAGTCCTAGATGCTTGGGAAGTGTTCGACTTGTGATTTTGTGATACAAATCCAGCATATAGATCTCATTTGCTGTGACATACTGTGTTTTTGTGTCAGTAATAATAATAATAATAATAATAATAATAATAATAATAATAATAATAATTTATTTGTATCTTAAAAAGGGGGGACACAGTGGTGGTGGGGGAACCAATGGGGAGGGATGACTAAGGGATTATTTTAGTATAGTTTTGGTTGCATTATTTTAGTATTTTTGCTTTTATTTTTCATCAAGAGGATTTAAGTTGCATATATATATATATATATATATATATATATATTAGGCTTGGGCGGTTTCGTTCGTTAATTTCGTAATTCGTTATTAATTCGTATTTAAATTAGCTTACGATCCAATATTGAGCCATGCAGGAATTGTGTGAGGAGTAATAAAGATTCGAAACAATTTTTTCAATTTATTTCGTAATTATTTCAAATTATTTCGTAATTATTTTGTAATTATTTTGGCATGTCTGGTGCAAGTTTTATAGTTGTTGTTTGTTTTATCACACCAACAGTCAACAACAGAGGGAGAGGGAAGCTTCAGAAGTTCCTCCTCTCCCATTTGGAGGGTTTTTTTAGCATATTGCGCAATCGCGTCCACCATTAACGAATCAATTCGTAATTTTACGAAATTTCGTATATTTCGAAATTTTTAAAAGGAAAATTTCGGAATTATTAAAAAAAACGAAACGCAAGGGCCCCCTAAAAACAAAACGAGTTTAGAACCAAATTTTTCCGTGGTTCCCCAAGCCTATATATATATATATATATATATACAGTATATTCTGGCGTATAAGACTACTTTTTAACCCAAGAAAATCATCTCAAAAGTCAGGGGTCGTCTTATACGCGGGTGTATTCTTATGCATGGGAGTTGTCTTAACTCTATATTTTAACTGGAAACGTTGGGGGTCGTCTTATACGCCCAGTCGTCTTATATGCCGGAATATACGGGTATGTATGTATATATATATATATATATATATATATATATATATATATATGGAAAATTCAATAAATATTAAGTAAAAAGTAGAATTAAAAGCAGTGAAAAGCCTCTACATTTAGGCAGGCATGCAAGCAAAGATCAAAAGGTCTTGGTGTTTTTGGAAGGGTCCAGATGCCCTTTGGGTGCCCCTCCCTCCCAAAAGTGTCTCCCTCTGCAAGTGCCAGGATGCCCCTCCGTTCCGGCCTTAAAGCCTGTGGGGGCCCCTCCTCCCCTCCCTCCTTTGCATCCAAAGAAGAAGAAGAAGGAGCCACTCCGCTCCCTCCCCAGGGAGCCATCAGCTGCCAGGCTGCCAGAGGAACCGGGGAAATATGTAGGCCATAAAAATCAAGCTCAAACACAGGCTGGCAATTAGCATGCAAAGAAGGCAGGTGAGCGATGGGGGTGGGAGGGGGAGAGGGGGGAGGCAGGCAAGAGCCTTGCAGGCAAAAGGGGGGGGGGCACAAAGGCAAGCAAGCTCCAAATGGGGTCCCTGCAATGTCTGCATCAGGGACTTGGATCATGGAATCATAGAATCAAAGAGTTGGAAGAGACCTCCTGGGCCATCCAGTCCAACCCCATTCTGCCAAGAAGCAGGAATATTGCATTCAAATCACCCCTGACAGATGGACATCCAGCCTCCAAAGAAGGAGCCTCCACTACACTACGGGGCAGAGAGTTCCACTGCTGAACGGCTCTCACAGTCAGGAAGTTCTTCCTCATGTTCAGATGGAATCTCCTTTCGGATGGATGATGGAATAGATCAAAACTCACCATATTACAGAGCCCAGGGATTTGTAGTTTTGCAAGCTCTTCAGCTATCCTCTGCCAAAGAGTCCTGAAGTCTCACCAAACCACGACTCCCAGCATAGCACTGACCCATGGAGGTCAAAGTGGGGCCAACCTGCATTTGTTCTACAGCAGTGTTTCTCAACCTTCCTAATGCTGCAACCCCTTAATACAGTTCCTCAGGTTGTGGTGACCCCCAAACATAAAAATATTGCTACTTCATCACTGTAATTTTGCAACTGTTATGAATCGCCAATATCTAGTATGCAGGATATGAATCGTAATGTAAATATCTGGTATGCAGGATGTATTTTCATTCACTGGTCCAAATTTGGCACAAATACCCAATACGCCCAAATTTGAATACTGGTGGGGTTGGAGGGAGATTGATGTTGTCATTTGGGAGTTGTAGTTGCTGGGATTAATAGTTCACCTACAATCAAAGAGCATTCTGAATTCCATCAGCGATGGAACTGAACCAAACTTGGCACAACAGAAGGGCTTGGTGGGCATTGACCTTGAGTTTTGGAGTTGTAGTCCACCTACATCCAGAGAGCACTGTGGATTCAATCAATGATGGATCTGGACCAAACTTGGCATGGATACTCAATATGCCCAAATTGCACAAACACTGGTGAAGTTTGGGGAAAATGGACTTTGACATTTGGGAGTTGTAATCACTGGGATTAATAGTTCACCTACAATCAAAGAGCATTCTGAACTCCACCAATGATGGAACTGAACCAAACTTGGCACACAGAACTCCTATGATCAACAGAAGGGTTTGGTGGGCATTGACCTTGAGTTTTGGAGTTGTAGTCCACCTACATCCAGAGAGCACTGTGGATTCAATCAATGATGGATCTGGACCAAACTTGGCACGGATACTCAATATGCCCAAATGTGAACACTGGTGGAGTTTGGGGAAAATGGACTTTGACATTTGGGAGTTGTAGTTGCTGGGATTTATAGTTCACCTACAATCAAAGAGCATTCTGAACTCCACCAACGATGGAATTAAACCAAACTTGGTACACAGAATTCCCATGACCAACAGAAAAAACTGGAAGGGTTTGGTGGGAATTGACATTGAGTTTTGGAGTTGTAGTTCACCTACATCCAGAGAGCACTCTGGATTCAAACAATGATGGATCTGGACCAAACTTGGCACAGATCCTCAATATACCCAAATGTGAACACTGCTGGAGTTTGGGGAAAATAGACCTTGACATTTGGGAGTTGTAGTTGCTGGGATTTATAGTTCACCTACAACCAAAGAGCATTCTGAACCCCACCAACGATAGAATAGGGCCAAATTTCCCACACAGAACCCCCATGACTAACAGAAAATACTATGACACCCCCCATGACCCCTCTGGAGGTCGCGACACCCAAATTGAGAAATGCTGTTAGATCAGTGGTGTCCAACTTGTATCCCTTCAGGTGTTCTGGACTCGCTCTCCCCGAATTCCTGGCCATTAGACAAGCTAGGGCTTCTGGGAGTTGGAGACCCACACACCTGGAGGGCCACCTCTCGTATAGGTGCATTCTAACATTCCATGGGTCTAAGAAACCAGTGTGTATCAAGGGCTTGGGAAAGGTATTTTGGGTTAGCCTGGGCTTGGGTGAACTTCGTCCCTCCAGGTGTTTTGGACTTCAACTCCCACAATTCCTAACAACCTACCGGCTGTTAGGAATTGTGGGAGTTGAAGTCCAAAACACCTGGAGGGACGAAGTTTGCCCATGCATAGGCAAGTCTAATAAATGTGTTTTTTTGAACTTTGTTATATTTTTGGTATTTGGCCAACCTAGATCCACCTATATAACACATGGAAACTGAGTGTTGGGCTCCCCTTCTCTGGAGGTCTTTAAACAAAGGCTGGATGGATATCTTCCAAGAGTGTTTGAATGGTGCATTGCTGCATGGCTGAATAGTTGGTCTAGATGACCTCTGGAGGTCTCTTCCCACTGTAGGCCTCTGCAATTTTGCATTTCCATTTCCAGGGAGTCCCTTGAGGCCATTAGGGCTTCCCCCATTCCCAACTTTGAGGAGCTCACCTTTGATGATGTGCCGGACTATTTTGATGGAGCTTCCTCGCATGTTCAATATCTGGTGGACCCTCTGGCGAATCTGGTCGGGGAAAATCAGCAGCAGCAACAACAAAAAAGGAGAGAGAGAAGAGAGAAGAGAGAGAAAAATGCAGGGTCACTCAAGCGGAAACAGAAAAGGGGAAACGCTGTATTGCATCTTTCAGCGGCTTGGGATTTTCTGGCTGAATTAAACCTTGCAGGATGCTCTTTGCAGACAGGCAGGGGAGGCGAGGAGCAGAAGGGTTCAAAGAAAGCACGGCATTCAGGTATGATTTTGCTCAGTGCATCCAACATTCAGGCTCCTGGGAACGGCTGCAAATGAACAAGGCTCTGCATTTCCACTGTGAGAGCAATCTGTGGACAGTGAGGTGAGATGGAATAAGCCCTGTTTCTGCCAGCTCTGATCTGCAACAGCCCCAGTACTCTGCCCAGTATCACGGACAACACACGTATTAAAACAGCTCCACTGGTTGCCAATATGTTTCCAGTCTCAATTCAACATGAAGGTCAACACTTATAAAGCCCTAAATGGTTCAGGCCCTGCTTATCTTTATGACTGTATTGCTGTGTTTGTGTTCCAGGATTATGATGCTTCTGATGTGGGCAATGATGTGGGCAATGCTGTGAGAAATGATGAGGGAAATGATGGTGCCGAGGCTGAGGTGCAAGATGGAGATGGTTTGGTCAATGATTTTCATGCAGACAATGACAGAGAGGCCCCAGGGCAAAGGGCAGTTTCTCATGAGAATATCCCTGCTGGGCCTAGCAATGATGGTTCACTCCCTCTCTCTGTGAGCTCTCAAGACTTGGGTTTGGAAAACAATCTGACACCTGGGAATTTTTAATGAGCAGCCAGAAAGGGAGTTGAAGAATAAGCGGCTGGAGTTCAGCCAGGACTGACAACAAACTCAAGGTTTACCTTACTCCGAAAGGCTTTGTCAGATAAGAGTCAAGGGTGGGGGAAAATGAAACCAGTTTCTGGGTTTTGGGATATAAGGTTTGCTTCCAGGGAAAACCTGTTAGATCAGGCATCGTTTGGAAATCAAGTTCATGTGCCATGGAAATCCTGCTTAAGGGGTCTTGCTCCTGTGGATACTTCTAGCCTTTTGGTGTTGACTAGCAGCATCTGGATTGTCTTTGCATCCTGTTGATTCCTATCTGAATAAATACTGCCCTGGACTGCTTTTATATCTTTTGTGGACATTCCTTTGAGTTACTGAATTTTACTGACTTTTTACTTTTTGGAACTTTCCTATTTTCTTACAATAATTTCTTTCTACTGGCTATTTTACTAAGCTTCAATAAAAAGGATTGGTTTCTTCACTCAACGTGTGGTGTGTTTTAAAGTCTGACAACTTTTCCTGTCCTGGAGTGCAACAGTGGTTAACCTGCTGTGCTAACACCTGGCTCCAACCAGATGCAGGATTGAAGCCTCAATCTCTAGGAATTGTACCTCAAACCTGCCCCCAGCAACTGTCCTGGAATAGAGTCAGTCAAGGCAGGTGGATGAGCTCCATAAAGGACTCCAAGACTGTTGTCCTGAGTTTGCAAGACCTGAGCAGAGCAGCTCATTACAGGGTGACCACAACATCTCTATCCAGAGGTTACTGTCGGACGTGTCGGCAGCTAAAAGCAACACCTATTGTCTGCACCAAAGGCTCCTGCCTTATGCCCCTTTCACTGCCAACAAGTCAACTTATCTTTATCCCCTAATCAAGAGCTTGCTTTTTGTCATGATCCTTGAGCAGGTCTTGATAACTCAGGGCAGCTCTTTTGGACTGAATTGATCCACCTGTTGTTGCTCTGAGCCATTCTGGCACATGGGGAAAATTCAAGCAATATGGTGGAATGTAAGACAGGCCAACCAAGCTATTAATGCCAAAGGGTATGCAGCCCTAGCAGAGGGCTGAGGACGTAAGGACATGGAAGGCCTGTGGAGGAAACCAGGAGAGCCCACAAAAACAATGCCCACGGGCCCAACTCTCACCTGTGGGATGCTGGCGTTGCAGATCTCCGCCATGATGTAGCAGATGAGCTGGAGGATGAAGAGACCGGCGTCCAGACGGCGGAGGTAGAACTCGTCCTCCATGTCGTCGTCAATGATCTCCCCACGGCGTACCATGTCCTGGAAGGAGGGAAAGGAGGCTGAGAATGTGAGCCCCATGTGCATGGAAGAGCCATGTAGTGGTTTGAGCACCGGACAATGACTTTGGAAAGCAGGGTTCGAATCCCCACTTGGCCATGGAAACCCATTGGGTGGCCTTGGGCGAGTCCTACTCTCTCAGCCTCCTCAAAATAACTCTTGTTTAAAAATGCAAGTGGTTTTTGCATATAACTAGGCCAGCTATTAAATAATAAGAATAATAAGAAGCCAGAATTGAAAAGTCGGCGACAGATCCCAAGTGTAGACACTGCAAGGAAGTAGATGAAACAACAGATCCCATCCTCAGCTGCTGCAAGAAGATCGCACAGACAGACTACAAGCAGAGGCACAACACCCTTGCTCAGATGGCTCATTGGAACTTGTGCCACAAATACCATCTGCTTGCGACAAAGAACTGGTGGGATCATAAGCCGGAAAAAGCAACAGAGGATGAGCACGTCAAACTCCTCTGGGACTTCCTAATTCAGACTGACAGAGTTTTGTGCACAAGACTCCTGACCTCACAATTGTGTTAAAAAACAAAGTATGGATTGTCAATGTTGCAATCCCAAGTCACAGCAGGATTGCAGAGAAACAACTGGAAAAGCTGACATGATATGAGGATTGAAAGATTGAACTGCAAAGACTGTGGCACAAGCCAGTCAAGGGGGTCTCAGTGGTGATTGGCACACTGGGTGCAGTGCCTCAAGGCCTTGGCCTACACTCAAACACAATTGGCGCTGGCAAAATTACCACCTGCCAGCTGCAGAAGGCCACCTTACTAGGATCTGCACACAGTATTTGCCGATACATCACACAGTCCTAGACACTTGGGAAGGTTCCGACGTGTGATCCAGTACAACCGCCAGCAGAGTGACCTTGTTTGCTGTGCACTCATCTTGTTGTGTTTCAAATAATAACAATCCTTTAAACATGATTTGACTGTGACTCTGGAGACTTGGGTCCCAATCCCTGCTTAGCATGGAAACCCAGTGGACCTTGTCTGTTGTGGACTCATCTTGTTGTGTTTCTAATAATAATAATAATAATAATAATAATAATAATAATAATAATAATAATTGTGTTGCTGAAAGTATTGTATTGTTTCCGAAAGGTGTGAATAAACACAATGCATTCTGTTTATTTACCCCCTGCCTTTTCTCTCCACAAAGGAAACTCAAAGCAGCTTGGCCATGGTCACCCAGTGGGTGACCTTGGGCAGGTCACATTCTCTCAGCCACAGAGGACGGCAATGGCATTTGAACAAGAGAACCCTGTGATAAGCTCACTGTAAGTCAGAAAAGGCACAAATACCCAGAAAAGGCACATGGGAACAATATCTGAAGATCTCAGGATGGCATAAAAGCCATTTAAGATAACAAATAAAAACTATAATGTTAAAAGACTAAATTACATATCCAAGCGTTCCTCCTTTAGCGCCCGTTCAACCATTCTGGAGTGGAGCTGGCCTTGGCAGAGGCTGCTCTGTGCCCGGAGGCTGCCTTCCTCTCCCTCCTCTTTGTCTGCCGTAATTCATGCCACGCCTGACCTTTTGCTATCCTCACACTGGAATTTTGTTTTGCCATCTCAAGGAGGGCTCCCTGCCGCTCAGTGGGATTTATGGCCCAGTGGCTCGGAATGTGAGCTCTCTCCAGGTGAGCTCTCAGCCCTGGACCAAGATCTTCTCCCATTAGAGAGCCCTTTGTGGCAGGCAGGGTTCCTCCCTTCTTCCTCCCTTTCTCTTTCTCCTCTGCATGCATTACAAACTTATGGAGGCAAAACTGCCTTGGTCTTGTGGAGGTGAGCTGCTGGTGGAAACAAACTATGTCCTGAAAGATGCCCGCAAGTGTCCTCTCTCTGCCTTTGTCTTCCTTCCAGTGAGGACACATTTTGCCATTCTCCAGGCAAAATATAGCTGCTTGGATACTTTTAATATTTTATCCTTTTTACCTTCCTTAGAAGATGAGCTTAGTAAGCTAGTAAGCTCCAAGACCCTTTTCTATTGAGAATGGATTTCTTTTTTGCTTCAGTAAAAATTTTGAACCTAAAGTTGTGACTCTGCAATCCTGTGCCATCCTGTTGAATAGAAGTTATGCCTTCGATACATGAAGCTAATCCTGACTCACCACACGTAAGTTTCCAATGGCTATGAAATCTGCTTCCAGCACTCTGCTATATTTATTTATTTATTTATTTATTTATTTATTTATTTATTTATTTGGGGTTCTTTTACCCCGCCCTTCTCACCCCGAAGGGGACCCAGGGCGGCTTACACAGTAAAGGCACGATTAGATGCCAGCATCACAACAATCATCTCAACTTACAATAAAATTCACAATTACTAACATCTTCATGCATTATTCCAATAAAAATCAATAAAATCAATACAAACCTAGATTCCTCCCTTACATTGTCAGTGTTTGCTGTCTCATAGATCCGTTTTTAATACCATTTCGTCCATCCTGCTGGTCTTTAATTGCCTGGTTGCCCAAAGGCCTGGTCCCATAACCAAGTTTTCACCCTCCTTCTGAAGGAGAGGAGGGACGGTGATGCTCTGATTTCCCCGGGGAGTGAGTTCCACAGGTGAGGGGCCACCACTGAGAAGGCCCTGCTCCTCGTCCCCACCAGCCTCACTTGTGAGAGTGGTGGGGTCGAGAGCAGGACCTCCCCAGATGATCTCATGGTGGAATCACCCCAAGTGAGGGTTGTTTTTGGGCCTAACCACTCTGATTCCCCAAAATAACAACTCTTTCAGGAGTGAATTTCCCTTCCTAGGGGTAGATTCCCCCCACTTCCTGTTGTCTCACCCCCGTTCTTAACTAAGACTGATTTGTAAGTCAGATGTTTGCAACTCAAGAACTGCCTGTATATGGAAGCAAGCCTTGTCACCATGGAGGTGGGCTGCTCCCTGGCTTATGTTATTGCAAGTGGAGGCACCTGGCTTGGGAGCCCTCAAAAGTCCAGCCTTTCTTGGATCTGGAATGTCCACTTGGAAGAGGGAAAGAGGGAGAGAAGGAGTGGGGAGGAGGCAAATGACCAAATATCTGAGCTCTCCTCCCCTCCCCTTCCACTAGCCACAGGGCTACTACATTTCCCGGTTTCCCAATACAAGCCTTCCTTTCTTCTTCTGCCTCTTTTGTGACTTCAAAGCCAAGACTCCTGCAATGCTGGAAGACCGACTCAGATTTGCTGGGGGCTCTTCTGAACTCCTCCTTGCAGAGAGGAAGCACTTCTTGGCCAAGTAAAAAACCATGACAGGAGACTTCCTCTTCCCTGTGATTTTTGCCAATCTGCTTTATCGGCCCCCCAAATCTTTCATTTCAGAACCAGTCGAGCTCATCCAAAAAGTCAAAGGCACGACACCAGGAGAATGGACCACCCTTTGCGCCGGAACAGGTAATTTGTGCAACAAGCAAACATGGAGGCATGCTCTTCCCCTCCAGACTGCATGGATTGCAAAGTGCCAGAAAGGAAATTAAGCACAAATACGTCCTTTGGTCGTAGAGGGCAGGCAATGCCACCGGGGGCCTTTTTGGCCCCGTTGGCATCCGCTGCAGCCCCTTTGGAGTCCCTCCCAAATGCTAATCTGTTTGTTGTGCAAATAACTAAACAGTCACCCAGGCAGTCTGCCCCCCTTCTCTCTCTCTCTCCCTCCCAAATTCTTTTTCTGCTGAAGCTGTCAAGATGCCAACCTCCCAAGCAGTGAGGGCTCAGGTGCCACTCCTGATCTGCGGGGAGATGCCCTGCGCTGATGGGCGAAGACAGCTCTAAGATGGGCTCCTGCGAAGTTCAAACAAGCTCCCCTCCTGCTAATGAGCATCGGCTGACAGGCGGGAGATGGCCAAGCCCAGGCTCTCCTCAGCTGCAGAGGCGGCAAGCTCCTGACCCAGGCTCTGGCTCTGTCTGGTCCACCTGGAGACAGGAGGTGGTGGGTCCTGGGCTCAACCAAGAGGGACATTTCTTGCAAGTCCCTGCCAGGCTGAAGGGATCAGCACTTGCTATAATGAAGTCTGGCTGTGGGGACCTCCCTTCCACACCATCAGCTTGGTTAGAATACAACAAGACGGAGCATAGTGTCTAGATCTAAGGAAGGAATGCTACCCTTCTATTCTGCTTTGGTTAGACCACATCTGGAATATTGTGTCCAATTCTGGGCACCACAATTCAAGAGAGATATTGACAAGCTGGAATGTGTCCAGAGGAGGGTGACTAAAATAATCAAGGGTCTGGAGAACAAGCCCTATGAGGAGCGGCTTAAGGAGCTGGGCATGTTTAGCCTGAAGAAGAGAAGGCTGAGAGGAGATATGATAGCCATGTATAAATATGTGAGAGGAAGCCACAGGGAGGAGGGAGCAAGCTTGTTTTCTGCTTCCTTGGAGACTAGGACAATGGCTTCAAACTACAAGAGAGGAGATTCCATCTGAACATAAGGAAGAACTTCCTGACTGTGAGAGCCGTTCAGCAGTGGAACTCTCTGCCCCGGAGTGTGGTGGAGGCTCCTTCTTTGGAAGCTTTTAAACAGAGGCTGGATGGCCATCTGTCAGGGGTGATTTGAATGCAATATCCTGCTTCTTGGCAGGGGGTTGGACTGGATGGCCCATGAGGTCTCTTCCAATTCTTTGATTCTATGATTCTAAGACTGCTCTCACTTGTCTTCTTTGGGCTCAGAACAGATCACAGGATTATGGAGTTGGGACTCCAAGGACCATCCAGTCCAACCTTCTTGTGCCAGGCAGCAAGACACCACGCCCTCCTACCATGTGGCCATCCGACCTTTGCTGAAAAGCCTCCAGAGAAGAAGGCTCCACTGGACTCCAAGGCAGAAGCACTGTCCACTGCTGGGCAGCTTTTACTCTCAGGAAGTTCTTCCTAGTGTTTAAGTGGAATCTCCTTTCCTGGTGTCTCAATCCACTGCTCCTTAGAGAAGCAGAAAACAAGTCCCTCCCCACTGTGATGTCCTTTCAAGTCCTCATGTCCATTTT